TCGGCCTCGGATTCTACGGAAGAAGCTTTCAGTTGTCGGATCCGACATGTCATGTGCCCGGTTGTCAATTCAAGGGCGGTGCCTCTCCGGGGCCCTGTAGTCAGAATTCTGGCACGCTTACGTATAGGGAAATAATGGACATTATAACGAATAAGAAGCTGCAGCCATACCACGACAAGGAAAATGCCGTCAAATACATCACGTGGAATCAGGACCAGTGGGTTTCATATGTAGGTGTAGTGTTCTCTACGATCGTACTGTTCATAAACGAGTGCCGGGCCCCTTACTGATTTGTTTATCTAGGATGATGCAGAAACCTTCAAGCAAAAGATCGATTTCGCAAACAAGCTTGGGCTCGGGGGCCTTTTGATATGGGCCATCGATCAAGACACCGATGACCTACAAGCGCTCCGTGGTGTTGTCGGTGGTAACAATCTCAAACTAGTTGCGAGAGAGGCCGAGAACTCCAATTCCTGGAAAGTAAGCAGAAAACTTTAGTCACGATTACTCGTACTTGCATACTAAAACCCCATCCCTACAGGGTGTTTCGGTTCCGGATTGCTATGTGACTAGTTGCGGAGGGAGCTGCAAAGCAGGCTTTCTGAAAATCACGAACCAGCCCTGTGGCAGCGCTACACCAGTATTCCGACACTCTAGTGAAGACGACAGTCTACTCTGCTGTCCATTAGCTGGAGCCCCTAGCTCTAAGGACTGTGCGTGGCGCGGCTCAGCTCCGTCTTGCAACGGCCATTGTCAGGAGGATGAAGTGACTGTTGAGCTCAACCGCTGGGGTGACGGGAAGTACTGCGAGGATGGGAACAAGGCATACTGCTGCAAAACCTCGATCAAAAATACGTGCTACTGGACTGGCGTGGGAAAACGCTGCAATGGAGATGATGTCGCTCTGGTAAGTGAACCGCATGAGGAAGACTCGTTTCTAGTTCAGAAGGTAAAGCATGACTGACCGATTGATAGACATTCGCTGGGACATTCCTCGAGAGATTGGCTGACATTGTTGGGCTGTTTGGCGGTTTGGTTGGCCTTGCACTCGAAGCTGCTCTAGACGATGCCAATACAGAGCTCCTGAAACTATACTGCTGCCCGAAAGATGATATAGACAATTGGCAAAACTGTGCATGGTACGGCGAGCCGGGTAGCTGCTTCGACAACCACTGCCCCGTTGGACACTCTGTTCAGCTAACAGACAACGCCTATGGCATGGGCGAGGACTGCGGGATCCGTCTCGAGCGAACACGGGTATTTTGCTGTGACCCAGCTGAGGGACAGTCACCTTTCCTTCCAGTAGCTTTAGAAAACATCTTCAAGGACCCGCCCAAAGGGGACGGCGTCGATACCGACTTCGATCTGGAAACAGACGACACATGGGGCACGGGAAAAGCTAAGGTTGGGGATGACGAGCCTGAGGACTCGGCGTTCCAGTTCATCGTGCTAGCTTCTCCCGAGGAACTACAGGTGTCCTTGGACAAACGCGATGGCTCACATTGGGAACTACTGAATTGTGGCGATACAACGGACAGCGAGGAGGCACAGACTATCCAGATGATATGCACCGATATTTCGAAAAATAGCAACTGCTACAAGATCGGACTTGGTCACGGCGTTCCGGGAACGATTCTACAAATGCCAAGGGGCTGCGGACCCGGAAAGTATGCTGTAGCGGTAGATATGTCACCATCCAAGAACCAGATCCTTCCACGCAGCCTTATCGAGCGCTCAGGCCATAGACCCGTCGTCTATGACCTGACCTTCGATTATGACTTTACCCGCGTACCTCGGGACCTGGGAGACACTCAGATGCGTATCGACTTTAGCAATGAGCCTGGATACTGGGACCATATTGTTTCAGCTGCAGCGTCTCAGCGTAAGAGCAAGCGTTCGCTGGAGGACGTTGGGGGAAATCATGTCCAATGGCTTGAGGAAGAGTTCCGCGAGGACGCTCACTTCGGCGCGCTCGATAGCCACGAGCTACACAAGCGCTGGTTCGGGTCCGACATAGTCGCATGGCTCAAGAACATGTTGTCTCCAACCATTAGCCGGGAATACAAGCACGTGCTGGACAACACATACATTCTCAAGATTGTCGACGAGGAATGGCACTGTCCTCTATATAGCGGGCGGCTGCTCGCCCAAGCTGAGACAAACGTTCATGTAGAAACAAGTTTTGGCTTTACGCTGATCTGCAAGCTGGGCCCGAGTATCGATCTGAGCGAGTCGTATTTAACATTTACCAACAAGGGCGATATCTCAGCTATCTTCCGGCTCGAGGCCTACCTTGACCTCCACTATGACAGCCAAGAGCAGACACTAATTCGTGTACCATTCCCAGGGGCATCCTTTTATATTCCAGGCATCGCTACAATTGGCCCGGCTGTCCACTTGAAGGGGCGTGTAGAAGCTGGCCTAGTTCTCTCGGCGGTTATGGAGACACGAGTCGATGTGGCTTCGTGGGAGTTTGAACAGACACTACCCCCTAACTCCGAGTATGAGCCATCCGAGCCCGACAAAGCGGACTACGGCCATTCGGGTGACTTCAGCGGGGTTCAACAGCCCGAGTTCTACGCGGGAATCACCGCTGACGGTAATGTCAAGGCCCACGCCATCGCCGCAGTCGAGTTTGGCATCATGTTCGATAAACGATGGAACGTCGGTGGTGATGCTATTGCCTCTGTGGTGGCAGATGGTTGGGTCCAGGCTAAGGCCCATGCTGCTGTTACCACGAATGGAAATTGCCCATTTACATGGGGATTGGATGTCGGCGTCGACTTGTATGCCATGGCGGAGGCACCACCGCTATTCGACTGGCAGCTGCCAAAGGTTCCATTGCCCGGGTCCGGCATGAAGCCTATCATACCTATGGACAAATGCCCAGATCCGACATTAGGTGTCCCAGAGAAGAGGGACCATCTAGCTCTTCGTGGCTCAATTTTGGAGCCTAGGGCCGTGACAACAAGCCCGAATAACCTGTCAGGTCTACTCGAATCCCGAGAGTTACAAAGCCGAGCTCGTATTCCTGTTCCTCCTGTTTTCCGCATTCCAGCTCATATATTGAAGTGTCCTGAATCAGGCAATGGTGAAGGAGACTCCACGCCTTGTTCCCAGATAAAGGGCTGGGAGGACGACCAATTGAATGATGCTCTCCGGCGACGAACTTTGGGTGCTGACAACTCAACTAATCCTGAGCATTGGCACAAATGGGAACTCCGATCTACAGATACCGGAAGAACGGTGACAGCATGTAGCAGATCCTTTAGGAATGGAGTGCAGTTTAAGGCACCTCCTTACGAGACAAGCGGGACGTTAAACAGTGTAAGTGCCTGCCGACATCTTCCATGGGAGAGAGATGATAATACTGACAGAAGTCATTCGTTGGGCTCCAGAAAGTGCCAGGAGTCAAGGTATACGGTTATGTAAACCCCAACGAGTGCAACGATTTCTCGTTTGATGGCAGCCGGCCTTATCCAACTAGCAACACGGAGGGCGGGTGGGCGACGGAGCACATTCTTGAGCTCCAGCTCATCAGCCAGTTCTTTGACGATGCTAACAACAATATTGGGAAAAACTTACCAAACTATGCCCCCGGAATGAGTGGCATGCAGGACTTGTGTCAGGCTCTCAACACCCTCTGGGTTGGGGTTCCAGATGACCAGCGCTTTGCCATGGATGGCGTGAAACGGGATCCTGTAAACCATGTGCTGGCTGTTCTGCCTGGCAATGATAATCAGTATCTTAGCGAATTTGTCTTGCTTGACAAGGGCGTCAATACTGCGAAAGAAAGAGTACGTCAGATATCGACTTGGCTCTCATTATTTTCCCTTGGTTGGCTAGTGCATACTGACAACGGGAGCAGATGTTCAGCGGGGACGCCACGATCCAAAACGACGATACTATGGCGCAATATGTTGGTGAGGGCGGCAGGGCTGTTAAGAATCTTAAGGATGTTATGACAGCTATGAAGTATCTGCAAGACAGCACTATCGCAACACGGCTGAGGGCTCAGAAGGAGCGCATTGCTGCGAGGCTACGAGACCTCGACACAGTTGAACTGCCTAACTGGAGACGGACCAAACGTAATGGAGACTCCTACGGCACTTGGGTCCCAGTAAGCCTAGAGGGTAAGTGGAATACGTTCATCAGCAACAAGTGTGCGACGGCACGGAGCAAGGCCATCACACATATCGATTCATATCTGGGGATCTTGAAGGATGGCTACGTCACTGATTTCAAGAAAGATCAGGCAGAGAAGCAGGCTGCACAGGGGGATACGAGCTTGAAAGATCTGATCGACAAGATTGAAAAGTTGGACGCAGAGTGGACTCGATATAAGCCGCTCTCATGGACGAACCCTTTCTAAGTCGCAACGCGTATTTGTTGCAAGTCTGTCAGATTACCCACATAGTAGTCCAATACGAGAGGGCCTGCCATAGCGTGGGAAACGTCGTCCACTAGGCTACGTTCATCTTTCGTGTGTATCCCTATGTAAATAGCCGCTTGTTGCCACACTCTAGCACACGGTCTTATACCTAGTGCCCTGTTTATTTAAGGCGAGACAGACGGGATACCGAGTTCTCCTAGGAAACTTCTTTGAGGACAATGTGCCCAGCAGTCCGTGTCCGTGCTTCTAGGCGAAATTCTCCCCACTCATGTAACAATCGCGTGCTTCGCTTCAACCCGTCGATAGACTAAGGCTAATCGCTTTGTAGCGTAGGGTTTTAGTTTAGGGTTGATGGAGAGGATGTCATATTATCGACGAATAGGTACAATACCATGATTAGTATGGCACGAAGTCAGAGCTTGATAGAAAGTTGAATATTAAATAGAAGACCAGTAGTTCAACATCCCTTCGTAGTGTTGAAAGGGGGCAAGTAAAGGAGAAGAAACAGGCACACACACATATACACATACGCAAAGGGAAAAAAAGGGGGGGAGGGGAAAAAAAAACTTGGTTGCCATCCTAGTTTTCTAGGAAGCATCAGGAATTGAGCCCGATGCGGGGGTCGAACCTGTGAACTGTATGTTAGAATGGAATACCAAACCGGCTTTAGAAGAGCTGGGACTAGCTACTAACCCGCAACCTTGAGATTAAGAGTCTCACGCTCTACCGATTGAGCTAACCGGGCCATGAGATGGCGTGTGCCCTTAGTGGGCTGGGATGCGGACGGCCTATTGTTGCTTTTTACACCACAGACCTCTGAGTTGTCCTGATTTTTCCTAATCAATAATGGATTCACTTCGAAGCGTGGGAGTGCCTAGTAGTACCTATGTAGTAAACAATCGATATAATAATTATTACTGGGATACCCGGGGCTACCGCACGGTAGAAAATTGTTGTCTTCAGTGTTAGCTCCTCTTTGAACTGCCATATGGGATTCACAAGCTAGACCTGACTGGTGATAGAAACTAAACATGAAGCATCAGAACTTATAGTTAAAAATATCAATATAAGCTTCAATGATCTTATATTTACACATATACCTAAGTAGGTACGGCAATTGTATTATAACATCTATGCATGGCTACCTAGGGTTAGCACTGGGACTATATCTCTATATATACTCTTAGCCCATCATGGCTATCCGCAGTGTCACATCATTTTTCGCCTCGCAAATTCATCTAGGTAGCAAAGTGAGGCGCATTAAGAAACAGTCCCATGAGGATTCCGCCAATAGTGCCGGCGATGGGAATAGTCATGATCCAGGAGAGAAGGAGCAGGCCGACTCGCTGGAAGTTGACAGCCTTGAAGGTCCCGTTACAGAGACCGACACCGACGGTCGCGCCGGTGATGCACATCGAGGTCGAGACGGGCAGCGAGAACTGAGAGAACACGAGAACGGTGATGGCAGCTCCCATCTCCATCGACGAACCTCTACTAGGCGAATGATACGTGATCTTGTTACCCATGACTGTGCAGTTTTAGTTAGCAAAAAGAAAAGAAAATTCACGGCTCAACGTTGATAGAGACCTACCCTTCATGATGTTATATCCATACGTGATGAGGCCGAGAGAAATGGTCGCCGACAAGACGGCAAGTTGCCAAATGGGAACGGGAGCCTTGGAAGCAGCTGCATCGCCGGTAGACCAAGCCGAGTAGATGACGGCCCAAGGACCAACCGAGTTTCCAATGTCGTTGGCACCGTGGGCGAACGAGGCAGTGCAAGCAGTCAGAATCTGGACGAAAGAGTACGTGTGCTCGACCTCGTTGGGGTACTTTTCTGCGTGCGCATATACGCGCTGCATCCGCTCGCCTTCAGGGGTACCCGCGATACCGGACTGGGCGGCGTGGATGTCGTAGTGAAGACCGTACAGCAGCCCACAGACAACCATGGCCGGGACTCGCTTTGCGATGATCACGAGATTATGTATCTCGTAGATGGCACCGGGGCCCATTGGGTTGTCGCGGAGAGTGCGCATGGCCCAGCCCAGGGGGCCACGCTTCTTCAGCAGCTTCGCCTGCAGTTTGTCCTCGCCCTGGGAAACTATTTCCTTGTAAGTGGCTTGTCTAGCCTCGTTCGTGACAAGCTTCTTCTCGTTTTCGTCGCTAGCCTTGGTGTTCTGTGCCGAGTCGGACTCCACCAACGATTCCGGCGAGCGTGTGGATGAAGCCTCTTCATGATCCTCCTGGACCACCGCGTAGTCGGGAACTTCAGCTCTATCACAGTCGGCTGGGGCTGGACGCCTGAAAAGAAGAGGGCCCTGAATGAACATCCACCACTTGACGGTGTGACTAGATACAACATGTCAGTAACTTATTCTGATGTGACCTGAACAGAATTATGTGTCCTTTTTTTTTAGACGAGACAGGGCGAGAGGCTATGAGAGAGGTACGTACTCCTTCATGATAACCTTTGAATGCACGTAGGGGACGAAAAACAATGCTGATAGGAGGCATACACCACCGCCCGTACCCATGGTGACAGCGGCAATATACCACCCAGGCCTCGCCTTGAGGTTGAGATTGGGCGACCCCTTATAGACAATCGACAGTGTACAGACGGTTCCCGCGATAAGGAAGAAGAACGGAGACGTCCACACGGCCCATTTGACGGGATTCTTGCGCACGTGGACGGTGAGCTTGATGAGCATGAAGATGGTGGCACCGAATCCAGCAGAGATGGCGGGTGCCATGCCCAGGCCAGCAAAGATGGCGCCGAGACCCTTGCCGCCATTCCATCCCCATTGCACCTGAGATGCGCCGACAGTCGCAACACCAACACCAGCCACGGCCGAAATGAGGGAGTATGTGGACGAGACGTGGGCCGAGTGTCGAGTGCACCACATCACCCACATAGACGCGGCTGCGAGAGCACAGGTGAACGCGAGCATCTGGACGCCGGCGTTTTCGCGGAAGGCTGAGTTGGGGATGATGCCGTTCTTGATGGTTTCAGCCGTTCGCGCACCGACTGTGATAGCCCCGAGCATCTCAAATATGGTTCCGAATATCATCGCCTGCCTGTAGGTGATAGACCTCGAGGAAACACTGGTTGCCCAGGCATTGGCCACATCGTCTATTCCATGACCGTAAGTAATCAGTTTACACAGGTAAGGGTATGGGCCTGGGCCTGGGCCTGGGAGTATACTACTTACTTGCACCATTGTTGTATGCGTCTAGCATGGCAAACAATGTGCCGATCACAAAGACGTAGGTATACTGGTCGAGAGCCATTTTGTGACGGGTAGAAGCCAAATGAGCTTCAGCTTATGGTAGTAGTTGGACACCTCCTGCGCGTGCTAGCCAGGGAGAGAATTGGGAGAGCAGAAGTGCGACATAAATGCCTTTTATGTGTCTTCTGCAAATCCTGGATAGGCAACTCCACGTGCTCACCCATTCTCGAATATGTATGTACGTGCGTCTCGAAGATCCCTTGCCATACAAAACAGGTAGAAACGATCCCTAGGTACTACGGACAGGAAGACGATAACACGACCGGAGGAACGACCAGCCCCATCGATATGTATCTAGCCATGTCCTGCTATAATACCACGTTGTCGACTGAGCGGGTATGATTCGTGCAGGCCGGCTCTCGAACGCCACATTTTCTGACCAGCATGAACGGTGCTAGTCGGGCGGGCGATTAGAAGTTCGAACTTGGGCTTGCCTTGTCGTCGTTGGGGAAAGCCACCGAAAAAAGAAGAGGCGACCGAGATATCGAACTTGGCAGCAGCTTGGCAAGCGACTTTATATATACGAATGGGCGTGAGGCTATGTGGGGATTTCCTTGTCGTTCGAGGATGAGGCCCTTGGCAGGTCTGGGCTGCATGAAGAGTGCCGGCCTATGGAAACCGTAAACTCCCCCACGTGGGCGACCAAGTTGATCCCTATTACCTAGGTAGTGAAGCTCTCTCGACGCCTCGTCCGTCCCGATACCCTGGTTTCCAGCTTGTGATGTGAGAATCGGGGAAGGGCGAGGGCGAGCTGGGAATTTCCATGATCGATCGACCCATCGGTCCATTGTGATCCTATTTCCATTTGTCCCGCGTTCTAGAAGAAAAGAAAAAAAATGTGATCAAGCATGGCATACATGACGAAGCCATAAACCTGAAATCTGGAGACTTTTGCCTTCCCGCTACGAGGATAGCGTCGGCGATCCCACAGATACAGAAGCTAGCGGCGCAAAGGCGTGGCGCGTGTGTGATAGACAACTCAAGACATTATATTCGTGGTTCTATACTACCGAAATGAAACAGTCAAAAAGGCCAAGTTCTATGCCTGAAACAAAGTCGAGTGAAGGTTTATTTTGGCATTACATAATTATCATGAGTATGGATGAGAGAATCGGTCCTAGTTCAGGTCGATCTCATGTGAACGCTTTGTTTCCAAGACTAACAATGGGTACTCACCTTCCTATATTAAGCACCCGTTGCATTCATTCTTCACTGTAGCAAATTAGCCCATGTCCTGACAGTCCTTGTAGTATATTGATAGTTGCTTTTATTTGACTCAATGGTATACTTGAAGAAGTAGGTATGTAACCTTTTTAGTCTGATACACTAAATGTAATAATACTACATAAATATGTCGGTGTTCGTTGGCATGATATGTATAGCCCAACCCAATATATTCTGAACTTGCTATATTTATCTACCTGGGTACGCTTGATCTTTTACGGCCCTATAGTTCACTTGGCTCTTGGGGAAAGTATACCCTGTTCATATGATTTAACATCATCATAAAGGTATTGGCTTATTAACTAACCAAAATTCACATGGTGAAGTAACCTTTTGCGACTATATTGAGGTCTCATATCTTTACGTGGAATTGTCAGCTACTTATTGATCAACCTATGTGAGGTGACTTGACTATATGTGTTCATGTACGCATGTAAGTATATGCTGAAGCCATCGATTATTATGAAATGTGAGCTACTAATTTGAGAGAAGGCCGTGTCGAATGGAGGAATCACAGAGTTACAAACGTTCCACGCTATAGCGACTCGCAGAGAATCGGCGGAGTGACAAAAAAATCGGTTGTCGTTAAGCGACAAGAGTGAGTCACTTAGTCCTGATCAATGTTTCATCAGTTTCGTTCATAATATGTCTCCTACTTTTATTTTTTTATTTTTTTGAACTAAATACCTAGTAATATTGTTTTCTGTCTTGAGTGAGCACCCATGTAGAAATGGTCTTGAAGTATGATTTAAAGGATTGATATACCTATTTCTTTCAATATGTTACTAAATAGGTACCTTCGACAGAATATGTCATCGAGAGACTTTTCATCTGCTATGCCAAATTTCCTCCTTACATTACAATACAACAGGACCCCCCTCCCCCCATAAGATGGAGACGCGCATTCTCCGCTTGGAGCCTGTGAATTTCAGCATCTTTCAAGGCAATCAGTTCCTGCTGGTATTTTTCCCTCTCTCGCGCCGCCTGTTCGAGCTCATTCTTCAGCACGGCGACATCGGTGTCCTGATTTTGTCTAGTCGCTTCATCAAGTTGCTCTTTGAGATACTCTATCTCCTTCCGATGTTTCTCCTCCATTTTCCTCAAGTCATCATGGAGTGTCTGCCCAGCAGTTGTATCATGGAGCGATAGACCTTTACGTAACTGCGACTGCAGTTTAACTTCCACCGGTTTTTTCTCAAGAAGCCTGCTTAGAATTCTCCTTCCATCTGTCTCG